TTCTCTTTATTTCGTGAGATGGGGTTAAAATAATATGCAATAACCAACTCTGGTGGATAACTAAAATGCAGAAGATTGACAAGATATGGACTACTTTTCGATGATAATGTTCAAGTAAAGTTCACACTCTAAAGATAACAAAGTCCATATTTCAGACACAATGGAGGTAGAACAAGAAAATACAAAAACATCATGGAAGAAATTTAAAAATAAATATTGCGAGTGAATTTGATATAAATCATTACATTCAAAAAAATTAATATTGTTTAGGCAGCAGCCTTCTCCATTTTGATCATTTCGAGAATGCCATCCTGCATCTCTTTGACGGCTTCATACTCAGTGAGGCCCATCCTTCTCTTGTTGGAAATATCGTAAACTCCGCCCTCACTCTCAGTGTGCTCACCGCGAGTACCTCTGACTTGAAGATTAAATTTGGCAGCAATGTCCTCAAGCACTTTCTTGTCCTTTGCGAGTTTGGGCAAAGCAATGTGGACAGAAGCTCGGATGGTAGTGCCAAGGTTAGTTGGGCAGAAGGTGAGGAAACCCAAGCGGTCGTCCCGAGAGAATGGCAGCTTGGATTCGATGATGTTGACAGCATTGACCAGACGTTGGAAAACGGCATTCAGGTCACCTCCCTTTTGCATGGAAATGATTCTTAAGTGATCTTCCTCATTGGACCACACCAAGAAAGTCTTAGCATCGTTGTGGAAAATACCACGTCCAGTGGGCCAGTAACGGCAAGCATTAGCTGCCTGGAGGAACCTGTCACCCTCTTTGAACAGAAAGTGATCGTCAATGAGTTTCTGTTGTGTGGTCTTGTCCATGCCTGTCAGGGGGTAGTAAGTGCCCTTCAATTCACCTTCCATTCCACTCAGAATCTTGCTTACCTTTTCTTCCATTTCCTTGTAGTTCGCTTCGGTGAGGCAAGGGTTGAAAGAGTACCCCTTTAAGCTGCGGCCGCAACGAACTCTTGTAGACACGACGAACTCTCCAGCGGGGTCAACGTTGACGATGGTGTCCATGTTGCCGAAGTCAGTAGGGGGGTGCTTGTCGGTTGCTTTGAAACCGCCATGGTAGTCATCAATAATTGGGTTGAAGAGCTCAGCGAATACGTTGTAGGAATCGGCATCTGGGGCGTAGATGCCAACACCGCTGTCCAAATTCTCAACTCCGGACTGAATGACATCAAGAAGAGTAGCACCCAATGCGGTTTTCTTGTTCTTCAGGCTATCAAAGATTTCCTTGGTGAGATGTTTTTTCAAGAGGGATTTGCAGTCAGTTGCCTCTTGCAGCTTCTTGAAGCCGGCTTCCAATTTGTCGAGAGTAGCCTGGTCTACCATCTTATTCTCTGAAGGGCACTGAGCAATATACAAGGCAAGCTTTGGAAAGTGTAAGGCCCTTCAGAGAATAAGATGGTAGACCAGGCTACTCTCGACAAATTGGAAGCC